ACACTCTGACCAACAGCATTTTCATTCTTTATGTTGAGGCAAATATGTTCGAACTCGTAATTAAACATCCTGTTTTCTTGTACCTAGAGCCTGCAACAGCTGGAGCACAGTATGAGCTGACCCTGCCCCATATTGATCAATGTGCTTAAAAGAAATAAATCAACCAAAAACTCCATCTGGATTGTTGTGGTTTTTATATCTGGGTTCTGCATTGAACTCCCTCCTGTTCAAATCACATCGTACCTTCACTCATGAGAAAGCATTTTTTTAATTGATGTGCACTGGCCAGAAATGAAAACTGTACGGAAGAGAAAAGATCAAATAAGCAGGAAAGATGGATAATAGATGGAATAAAGAAACAAAAGAAAAGTAAGAGCGAGAGGAGGCGCTTAGCAGTCAGAGAGAACACATGGGAGCTTGCTGCCCTCTAGTGCCGGACACTGCAGCTCTCTAACTGACAACAAAACACTGACAGTGGAGATGAGAATGAATTATTCATAACAGGATGATAAAGCAGTATTTCACAGATCTTAGATATGAGATGTAATTGATCGTGTTGGGCTGATATCAAACACATGCTTGTCTCTGAAACTAAGTGTTATCTCCTTGATGGTTTTTGATGGTTTAAAGTGATATCCTTAATGCGTAAAGTACCACCATGCTGGGCTGTCGTACAGAGTCTCAGAGGCAGAACTTCAATGTATGAGTGGATTATAGTTTTTTTTACCAATTTCTTAACAATCCCAGCAGCCTCAATGGACGTCCAGACTATTCTGAAGCTCATGTTGTTGGCTACATGCATCATTTCAGGTTAACTCACCACCTACTCACCTCCATTTTAATAATGTCAACAGTTTCACCTCTTACTCTCTCTCTCTCTCTCTCTCTGTCTCTCCCCCACAGATTAACCTAGTAGTGCCAGTCAGCACCAGCACAGCGGCAGCTCTGGTTTAATGTTTAAACTCTAACTCCCCCTCTCCACACAAACACACTGGCCAATCGCTCTGCGTGAGCTGAACAGAGCGTCCAGCACCAGGAGTGAGTCACCTGAGAGACTGACGAGGCTGAGCTGAGTGGGCCTGGCGGACATAGCAGCCATTTTACAGTAGGTATCAGTTCCTGTTCCATTAAAAACAAACACTCAAAGGTCCTACGAGAAACTCTAACCTCCTCCACCTGAGGGACGAGTCAGGGTCAAACCGGGTAAGGAAGGCTGGTGTTCATTTTAATCATTATTATAAAGTTAGTAATGTGTGTGTTATTAATGTGTTTCCACGGTAATATGCTGTGACAGTGTCATGACTGTTGTTTTGTATCAAGAGTTAATGCAGCAGCTCACTGAGTCACAGCTCAACTTAAACTCCTCTGTCATTAGTGAACTCTGAGCTGTGTTGCAGCGACACACTAAGAAATGTTTAAAGATTCATTCCAGTGGCTTTACATTGTTTTGGGCCATGTGCCGGAGATCATACTCAACACTTCACATCTCCTTCAACCATTTTACAAACGGTGCATGTGTGCTTTTTTTAATCATTGCAGGCATTGTAGGTTTCCTTTGAATGGCATTCAATATGCAAACTTTTAAAACTTGCTTATGATTTAGAATGAATATGATCTGGTCTCTGTAATTATATTTAACTGGTTAAATCACTCTATACCATGTGATGCTGATGTAAGATTGTCAAATGCAGGGACTTAATGTTTTCTTAACTTGAGAATCATGGGGTTGATCAAGGAATCATTATTCACTTTCTTACACATTGCGAGACATATTCATTGATCTATCCGAGAATAATTCATGCATCTTGGTGAAAAGAAATTAAACATGTTTAGGGGACTGATATTTATGTGTGTGTAATTTGGTGCAGATCCAAATAAAAATGAGGATCTCTTGAGTTAAAATGAGATTATTATACAAGCCTTGTAACAGAGTTTTGAGTATGTCAACTGTTTAGCTGCTGTGCACAGTAATGTTATTAACAACTGTATGTGAGAGGGCTTACTCAAAATTATCTCAAATACTGTGCAGTATTTCCAGCAGACAAGCTGAAAAACTAAGGAACATTTGTTGGTTACAGAGAACAAGTATTTGGTCTTACATCAATAACACAGACACAAACACTGCTCTGATTAAATGCTACAGATGCTCCTTAGATGCTGGATTGCAAATAGTCAGGTTTTCCTCAGAATTGATTTCAGTGTTTGGTGTCTGCTTCACCCAAGAGCCAAAAAAAGTTTAATGCCAGTTAAAAGTGCACACTAATTGTTTTTCATATCATTTGGAAGTGAAAGGAAATCTAGAATTTAAGGAGAAATACATTTTAAAAAATGGTCTGTATAAATATCCAATCTGTAAACACACCAACATAAGCTATTAAAGTTTGGATAGTCAGAAAGAATACTGTTTGTATTATTCCATCTTTTTTCTATCTTGGAGAACAAATAATCAGGGTTATTTCAGTATTTTATAAAATGAGGTCTATGGAGGGTAGAGTTAAATTCATAATTTGACTCTTGCATTGTTTTGTTTTGAATCAAATAAGAAACATTTGAGTGCTGTTAAACATGATAGATTTCAGAGCATATGAATATGTTTGCATTGTTACTACATATAACTATTCATTTATCTTTCCTCCCTGCACAGTTTCTCCCTCTCCATGTCTCATAAGGATTCTATGATTACGCCTATCTTGACGAATTATCAGACTTCAGCATGAAGAGCTGGAGCAGCAAATTCAAGGGACAAGAGCCTGATAGTGAGGCTGGGTCCTCCTCCAGTAAAAGGAACTCCATCAGTGATCCACCGGTGCCTGTGTGGGTTACTCACACACCCACACCAGATGATATCACAGAGGATGGAAACTCCACAGGCCGCACATCCAGTACTCCACCGTACGCAGAAGAGGATGACAACAAAAAAGTGCACATGAAGGACAAGCTGAAGTCCCTCATCCCTCAGTCATGGGGGGGCTTCCTCCATAAATGGAAAAGAGAGAGCGACTCTGAAACCAGCATGACGGGGATCCAAATCCTTCCTAATGGGACCAGGGTGAGTCCTCCTGTAAGTCCACTGCTTGAGCGCAAGAACTGGGTGGACTCGCTGAGCGACTCCAGCCAGAACTCCCGTAAGCCTTTGCTAAGGGAGAGCCCCAATGATGAGTTGCCTGAACAAGGCCCAGGAGAGGAATCTCTGCTCACCAGCATCCACCCTGCAGAGTACTATGCTGAGAAGCTGGAGGTCTATAAGTTGAAGTACTCTTACTTGAAATCCTGGCCAGGCCTCCTTCGACTTCTCGCTGGACTTCAGCTCCTGTTTGGGGGCATGGTTATAGCCTGTATCATCGCCTACATCCAGAAAGACAGTGAGTGGTCCAACATGTACGGACTCTATAACGGTGCATATAACAATGGGCTCGGATTGTCCGGATACAGCTACAGAGGCCCCATGACTCCCTTCATCCTGGCAGTAGCCGGAGTCACCTGGATCATCACCCTCTGTCTCCTGGTGGTGGGAATGACTATGTATTATCGCACCATCCTCCTCGACTCCCCCTGGTGGCCTCTGACGGAAGCCTTCATTAACGTGGCACTGTTCCTGCTCTACATGTCGGCGGGGATTGTATACCTGAATGACTTGAACCGTGGGGGGCTGTGCTACATGACGATAGGCGTCAACCCCATCATGGCCAACCTGTGTAGGGTTGATGGGGGACAGATGGCGGGAACGGCCTTCATCTTCATCAACATGACTCTGTATCTGGGAAGCTTCCTGGTTTGTCTGAAGATGTGGAGGCATGAGGCTGCACGAAGGGAGAGGGAGCACTTTGAGAACAAGGTAGAGTTTATATATATTATCAAATACATTTTGGATTAAAATACAAGTTTGTCACATTTACATTTCCAAGGTATACACAGGGAAATTTCCAGTATTTGTGTCATATCAAATGTCACATTTATTGCAGACAACAGTAAGTGATACTAATATTGATTGCAATTGCGTCTGCAACAGCCCCCGAAAATAACAGTGGCAGACCAAATCCAATAAAATTGAGTCAGTCAAGACAATCTGCAGTGAGCAAGCTGCCTGTCAGTATTGATATGTCAGTGTTTTCCTGCTGGGTGATGCTGTGGCAGTCGACCAGAATTGGTCCCAAAGCTGCAAACTGTTTTTCTTGACTTTGTTGACCACCTCTTTCACTTTGCATAAATATTAGATGTGAGAGCTGAAGGTAGTCGAATCCCTGCTGATACCATAATGCTTTATCAATGTAGCTTTTATAATAACTCAAAAAAGGTGGTAGTATTGTACAGATATACTGAATTATAAGAAACAGTTATAGATGTATATAAGTGCTGTTGTTATCAAAAGAGAAGTTTGCTTTTAACAGAGAGAACCTTTAGTACGGATTACAAATAACTGACAATGAGGGATCTGATCCATTCAGCATACATCCAGTACAATATTTTAAAGTACTCTGACGTATGTCTGTCTATTGATTATGAAACTGGATCTGAGCATAATATCACCGATAATAAGGAATGGATTTGTTTTTATCTTCCCAAGTATTTGTGATTTTTTCCCCTTAACAGTAACCAGGCGTATTACTGTTTGCAAATAGGGCCCATGTTATCGGGCATTGCCGTCAGCACCTATAGGTGAGAAACAGCATGGTCAGCTGCAATATTAGATGTGAAATAAGAAGCTGAGCGGTCAAGAGTGAGCAGCACAATAATTAATTCCATCTCTCTGCCGAGGGAATGAGGCTTCAGAGGTTTCGCTTGTCAAAGCAAAAGAATGGGGGCTGTTTTTTCCCACTGACTGTGCTTTTTATAAATTATATATTTATTTTTTGTCTGACAATATAACCGATAATTTGACCCTAGGCTTCTCAGAGAACATCATGTAATGACACCAGCCAACATGCATTATTCATTTGTTGGTGTACATTTTCTGACTAATGCTCTTTCTCTTTGACCTTTAGCGTCAGGAGGAGTTTAACCAGTCCATCCCACTGGCCCCTCCCGAAACAAAACGGATATCGTTCAAGGATGAAATGGATAAAACTCTGAATAAAAACCATGCCGGTCCACATGCACTTGTCCCTGGGGTCTACAAAAACCCAGTCAGTCTGAAGAGAGACACAGCGTCTGAATACACCCCCAAAACATACATCATCGCAGACTACATCATGTGAGTGAACATTTAAAGCAACACTGTGTAGCTTTTACCAAGCAACAGCGCCCCCTGCAGCCACATTTTGTGATTAATTCTGTTGGGCTCTGTGTGGGAGTGATTAAGCAGTTTTCATGACCCATTAGATGAACTGAAATACAAACAGTGGATATTCCCCATTATAACTCCTGAACCAGAAAGCTGCAACAAATACACCAAACTCTATTAGAATTCTTTACATTTTTATATATTTTATAGTTTTTTTACTAATTTCAAAGTGTTTTTAACTAAACTACTTGCTGGGTCAGATTCTGGTGGCTTAAGCTGCAACTATCATTCAGTTGTTTGTGAGATCTTACCCCAACATAAAAAAACTTACATAAAACAAGAACAGACATTCAGGGTGAGGAGTGGGAATGAGCACCAGCCACCTTCAAACTCATTTTGAAGCTGCTGTTTTTAGGTAAAATAGTTGCATAGTGTTGTTTTAAATGCTTGTTGTGAAGAATTTCTCTCTTTATATTAAATTATATTTTTCACACACTCCATATATACTTGATGGTCGGTTGTCACCGTGTGATGCCACTTCTCTCTGTAGGAAGTACCCAGAGATCAGCAGTGTGGAAGAACGGGAGAAGTACAAAGCAGTTTTCACTGACCAGTATCAGGAATACAAAGATCTTTACCGGGACATCAGCACCACGCTCAATAAGTTCAGAGAGCTGGACGCCATGATGACACGACTCTTCAGAGAGGGAAAAAACCACGAGGTGAGATGGATAAGTAATCAACTGTGTTTAACTGCTTACATATAATATATGTAAACCATTTCTGTGATTCCAAGAGATCATTTGAGGTCAAAAGGTCATTTGTGTGTTTTACATTATTCTGTTGGATATCGTTTTGTTTTTCTTTTAGGATCAACGGAGGATTCAAAGTATTTTGAAGAAGTATCGGCAGAAAAAGAGTGTAAGTGATGGATTTTGTGAGAAATGAAGGGGGAGCAGTCTGTTCTGTGTGTCGAAATAATGAAACAATTATTTGCTCATCATTACAATTACCTCATAGATGTATTATAATTTCTACTATTGTGTAAACACTTGGGTGTAATGTTTTTAATACAGCTACCCACTGATGCAAATAATACCATCTTCATTATGAAATGTGGTTCAGTCTAGAAAAAGTCATTTAATGCTGCAGCTACATCAGAGTGAATCAGATGAGACTTCAGCCGACAGAGGGAAAGGGAAATTGAAAAGATTTGGGTAATTAAGTTTGCAGCCACTAATCATTAGATCATTTTGTGTGTCTGTTGGTTTACAGGACCCTGCCTTCCTGGAGAAAAAGGAACGCTGTGACTATCTGAAGGCCAAATTAAGCCACCTCAAAAACAGGATCCACACTTTTGACCAGGAGACAATGACAAAGGGTCAGATGTGAAGAAAGTCCAAACAAATCTTCTTTCTCCACATGTTCTTCTTGATTCAGTGTATGCTTTAAGATTCATGTTTTGCCAATAATCAACATTTTTCTACATGAAGAAATTGTGAAAAAGTGTACAATAAAGTTGTTTTCACTTGCATTTAGTGTGCAGTTTATTATTTTCACTTTGTTACTTAGCCTACGATGGCCTACTTATTTTTCAAATTTTCCCAAGAGACATCAGAACAAACTACCTCTGAGTGTCTGGAGGATAAACACTACTGGTGCAACATTAGGTCAATTGAAAGTTGTGATTACTGGCACATGTGAAGTATTTCCAATTGTTGAATTGATGAATGAAAAATATCAGTTGACATCTTCAAATATCTTGTTTATGAATGAGTGATCAATTACACACTCACACACATATATATATTAGTAATTCCATAAACATAATTTTTCAGTCTGTATGTGTTCATTGGTTTCACACTTGGTATGTGTATGTGTGTGTATGTGTATTGAAAATTGCAATGCAGAATTTGGTGTGATTTGGACATGCGATACCTTCAATATAAAAATGTGTAACATTAAAATAAACCAGTGACCAGCGCAGATAAACCAGGTAGGAGGAATGTTTCTAACTTCACTCTGCACCATAGACTTTTAATAAAAGGCTCTGCACATAATATTCAGCACACAAATGATTAAAAGTAAATTGGAAAACTGTTTGAGGAGAACTCAAAGTCCAAGGCAGTCCCACAGGACAAGAGAGGCAGATTAAGAATGGGCACTGCACTACTTAGTTTACATAGAAAAACATTTCAAATAAAAGTATAAATTAATTTATTTTAATCAATTTAATTCTAATTGTTGATCCACCACTTAATCAACTGTTTCAGTTTAGTATTTCATAAATATAGACAGTTTTCTATCACGTAAAGTAATGTATAGTTCTTGTGCAGACTGGAGTGAGTCTGTGTTGAGGAGCAGTCTGTGTCAGTATCAGAGAGGCTGCAGTGGGAGCATTAGGTGAGTGAGAGGCAGATGAAGTGTTTCTCTGCTGGGACTCAGTCACTCTGCTGCTCCACTGTGACTCAGGCAGCACAGTAACTTTCATTTACCAGCTTTTTTTTTTTTACAGGAGAAAGTCTCCACCACAGAGAATGATGAGGTTTATGACAGTAGGTGAATTATACAGCTGTTAACAGACGCACATGAATGAAGCGGTATGAGGGCGGCTGAGCTGGACCGGTGCAGAGCAGAAGACTATTTTCCTCTGGTTTTTGGGTGAGTTCTGTAATACACAGGTTCTTAATGGTTGTTTTGTGAAGTGTTACAACATTTAAATGGTTATTTTCTGTTGTATTTGTTCAGTTAGACCTGTTGAAAGTTTGGACTTTCATGTGTTAATAATTAAACCTTAAAAGCATTTGGAAACGACTATTTTCAAATAGAGTGGTCAGATCTCACTCTTGGAATCTAAACCGGTAGAATTTCAATATTCAATTCATTGCCATGTATTTTGATGTGGATGAAGCAGAGAGAATGTGGATAGATTCAAAATACAGCCCTGTTAACGTTGATAATGATAATGAGTGAGAAAAAAAAGTGATATATATTTACAATAATTGCAAATGATACAAGGAAATGTAATTGATAATTGACAGATTAACCACAGATTTTGGTATGGATAAAACATTTGGCAAACAGAAATGTTCAGATGATCTCTGTGAAAGGCTCATATCGACTGGTTTTAGTACCGATTTTTAGCAGCCAACCACCACGTTGGGCCGTGATTAAAAAGAAAGTTATATGTTGTTTTTTTGTGTCCTTCTTGAGAGGAGATGATCAAAAACACAAACAAGCTCGTCCACGGGTGACTGGGTTTATTTCATAGCTCCCTCAGTGCTCTCTGTCAGTGTGCTGACACTCAGCAGGTACACACAGGTAACCTAACATACTGTAGCTGCAGCACAGGGAGGGAACACTGTCTGTGGTTCTTCCCCTGCAGTAAACACCACGCATGGCTGCCCCGGCTCGTCTCTTATCTCCTGTCGGTCTGAATTATTGAAGGCTATTGGGTTGAGTTGCTCAGGAGTGATGAAGTAAGGGTCAGCGATACCAAACAGAAGGTTCAGAGATGGGCTGAGGTGAACGTGATGTGCAGGTCAGAGTTCAAAACTTAAACTGAGTTACATCAAATTAACTGTGCTGAAAAGATTAAGAAAAAGTTTGGATGTTTGGAGGCAAGTTTAATTTACTTTATTTGAATAATTAACTTAAAAAGTCAATTTACTCATTAAAACAGAGGAATGAGACGACATCCAGAAATATTCCAGAGTTGGGTTGTATGTGAGAACGCAAACGTCTAAGTCACTTGATGCAAATATTTTCTCAAACTTTTTTGGCAATAAAATGTCCATAAATGTCCAAGTGAGCCCATTTGAGAATGAGGCTAAAAACTGAAAAAACCCCAAAGAGAATTCTATTTAAGAAAAAGAAGAGTCAAACAGAAGACAAGATGAATACATCAATTTGAAAAGACAAAACAGAATTTTTTACATCATTTCCTTGTTGTTGACATCTCAAACTCCAGAAAACCTATTGCTGGAGTTCATGTCTGTAAACGGCTTGAGTTATACATTTATACTAATGTGGCAAGAATTAATTTTATCTACTGTTTCCTTTCTCTTCCAGATGAAACTGAAGCAACATCCACCATGTATGACAGCCCCCCTGTGTACAGCCCACCTTACAGCACTGTGTCTCAAAACTTCTATCCCCCGAGGAGCGTCCACTCCCCTCAGAGCCAGTATGTCCCGTACACCTACCATCTCCCACCAGACTCCCACCACATGGAGGGGACGCCTCAACACTTCTACCGCTGGTTTTCACCACCGGGGTTTGTCAAAACCTTCCAGGGCGCCACCGTGCTCATGTGTTTCCTCATCTTTGCCTGCGTGGCCTCTACCCTGGTGTGGGATATGAATGGATTTGGGTATGGGGGTTACGCTGCTGGGGCTACGGGTGGCGTTGCAGGGGCTGGATCTGGATATTATGGGGGCAGCTATGGATATGGTGGCTCCTACATGACGCCACAGTCCGCCAAGTCGGCAATGATCTCAATGGCAGCCATTAACTTCCTGGTTTCGCTGGGTTTCCTGGTGGGGAGCTTCTCTCGGTCCCGGGCGATGAGGGGATGCAGGTTTTACCTGACTGTGTTCATCTGTGACATCATCTTAGCTGTGCTTCAGGTGAGTCTGCCTCACATGACAGAAGACCTGGAAACTTCAAGTGATGTCATCATTATTTGTTATAGAAAGTCTCCAGTCAGATCATTTTACTCTGTGGTATCATCCATAAAATAAGAGTTTCATTGGCAGTCACAGGTTATACTGTACACAGAGACGTTATAAGAGGAAGAGAGAAAAGGTTTTTCCAGGGTTTTCAGCTGCCATAGCTTATTCAATACAAATGGTAACCATACTGTAGACGCTTTGCATTCTGGTTTATTGTGCCTTATCTAATGCTGCTGAGTTCAGTCTGTAGATTTTAGAAGCATTAGAGGTGACGTTGCATATTTCCCACATTCCCCTTCCAGGCATGTATGGGAAACCTACAATGGCATAAGTAAAAACATGAATGACCCTCATCAGAGACAGAATAGAATCGAATAGAATAGAAAGCCTTTATTTTCATTTAGGGGGAAGCAGTATAACAAAATTAGAGGTACTACTTGATCTGACAAAAGACACCAACCAATAAATTGTTTGGTTTGGTTTGTCCACTCTTGGCTGCTGTAGAAACATGGAGGTTCAACATGACAGATTACATCAAAGATGGGTTTTAAAATCAAAACAATAGACTTACTCATATGATCCAGTTTTGATTTAAAGTATTGATCATGTCAGTTTTAAAGAATGAAATGAAAGATGAAATGATCTCATGAACTTTAGTCTCAGCCAGGAATATCAAAATGACACTGTCCTATCAAATATCACTGCAGCTCTCACCATAGCTCATCTTCCATTTGCTGACACTGAGACATAGTGATAATATTACATGTGACCTTCAGATGTAACACTTGGTAAGAAAGCAGAAAATATAAAAATTTGATGGTATGTAGAATCTTATGTGAAAATACTTTCAAATCAATGGTGTGATTGAGCCCCTCTGTCTTTGTAGGGAATCATCGACATCATCTTTGTGATTGGCGTGAACCCGATGTCTCAGAGCTCACAGAGCATGCTGTACAACCCCATGCTGATGATGTGCCAGAACATCCAGGGCAGCCCCAGCCTCAGTGGCAGCGTGGGAGCAGGATTTCCAGGCGGATTCCCCATGTACAATCAATACCTGCACCACTACTGCTACATGGACCCTGAAGAGGTTCGTTCAATTGCTCTGTTTTATTCTAGTCTTGTGATTTCGATTGCATTCTGGTCTATATAATTAACTTTCCTTCCTCAGGCGGTCGCGTTAGTGTTGGGTCTGATCGTGGTGTTGGCGTTGTCCCTGTCTGCTTACTACGCCTACAAGACCCGCAGCAAGATTTGGCGCCACGGCAAGGCTAACATCTACTGGGACAATCCCATGGTCAGACCAGCGGAAGGGCAAGACATGCAGGACTGGGTTAGTGAAAGTTCTTCTTCTTCAGAACTGATTTCTTCATGTGGTATTTTAACAACATTAGAAAATGTGAGTGAATTAGCGAGTTGACAGTTGCAGTGAATTTTCTAATGGTGGCTCCTGTCTTGTCTGTAGGTTGACTAGAGGTCTCTTGAGCCAGGGAATTTAAACACAAAATCAATCATCTGTAAAAAGGTGTGGATTTTAGGTAACTGATGTGAATATAGCGTGCAAGACAACAATAACACTTGATAAGTCAAGCCAGGCGTCTTTGCCAACCACTGAACTCTTTTGACCTGACCTTGACCTGAATTACACAAATTTCATGTGAATCTTATGATCATCCTTAAATTCTGTTTGTACCTGAAAGAAAATTTATAAAAATCTGAAAATGTATGACTGCGCCAAGTTCTCATTTGTATGAGTAGTTCTTGTATTTAGTTTGAGTCGATCCGGAGGCCATGTTGCTTCTGTTTATTTCTGTATGATTTCCAGACAGTTACATCATTGCAGCCTCATCTTTGGTCTTTTCCAGCACATTTTTCGTCTCAAGGCTGATATGAACTCGTTTGATTCTGTTGACTGCAGGGTTTCACTTGCTCACATTACCCGCAGCTGTTGACTCAGAGACTGTCGGTGTTTATCTGCGGCACACCCAGGTTTCACTCTGACTGATCATTAACCCGTCACAGAAACCACCAACAAGAAACACCAACAAGAAACAGCACAGGACCTCCGGTGATAGGACAAAGGTCACGAGACTCTTTAAAAGTAATTCACCTCATGATGAGGAGCCAGGTTTTAAGTGACACGTTGTGTGAAGAGATTTTTATCTCACACACATTTCCTTGTCACATGTTTTTAAAGGATGGTGATAAACTTTGTGAATGAGTCATTTTGTTTCTCATCTAAAGAGGAAATGCTTAAAGGGTTAGTTCACCCAAAAATGAAAATTCACTCATTATCTACTCACCACTATGCCGATGGAGGGGTGGCTGAAGTGTTTGAGTCCACAAAACACTTTAGGAATTTCAGGGGTAAACAGTGTTGCAATCCAATACAATTGAAGTAACTGACCACTTCTTCAAACGTATTTCACCCACCCCTCCATCTGCATTGTGGTGAGTAGATAAGGGGTGAATTTTAATTTTTGGGTGAACTATTTCTTTAACATTTTAACACTAAATTAAAAAATAAATTATATGACTGTTCTTTGATGAAATACTTTAATGCTGGTTTTTATATCACATTTATTACCAAATCTTTAAAACAGCTGTGGGTTGAACATGGCTTATAACGCCACCTAGTGTTTCAAACTGTCTTAAGCAGAAACAAATGTTTGGGATGTCTCTACGTCATGACTTTCATATATAGTGGAAAAGGTTAACACCCTCTAATCAGAAGAGGGCACCTACCCACCCAACAGTGACCAGTTGTGAGTGGGAATCTGCAAAACTACTTCTGTAAACCCATAGGATGTAGGTTAACCCATTAAAGCATCAAAACAATGCATCCACATGAGAAAAGGGGTATTTTTTTACAAGAGAATTAAAGAATTTATAAAAAGCTTTTGCAGTTTTTCAGGCCCCATTATCTCTTTACAAAATGCCAGAGGTCAAATGTTAACCTCTGTATAGACAAGGGAGACTGTCATGAACAATATGGCATAAACCAGATGGATATCATGTAGGTGCCTGTAAAGGTACATTTGAAATGCCCTTAGTGAAAAGCTCTGCATATAGCATCTTGCTATATATCATAATGATATATCCAGGAGCATCAGCATTTACAAGGTATTGATGGTTTTAGAACCTTTGTGAAAGCTGTGCTGTTTGTTCATAGCTGTAGCCTTACATTTAGCAGTGATTCATTTATTAGTCCCACAGTGTACTATGAATGTATCATGTCCATCATGACTCATTACGGAAAGGGGAGAAACATCTTCAGTCAGTTTATCCAGTGAGGCCTTGGCCTACATATTGCCTATCAGTGTAAAGCATGTAGCGAGACGCTTCTTCGAGATGCACGCCCTATTCTGGGGCACTCTTGTATCTCGGTGAAGATGCTTTGCCTTGCAGGGAGGCATATATAATGTATGTGGAATGTATAATGTATAAAAAGGCTTGAGTTGCCTCTGTGTTGCTGTGTGAGACCCGACAGAGCATGGTGGCACTAAATGATTCAGATTGTGAAGCGGCTGCTACACACTGGTGCGGATGAAACACCTGGCAAAGAATCAATTCCCCGTGTTTTGTGCCACATTTTCATCTGACACATGAGGAAACTGTGTCGAATGAGAGAAGAGTGTAGGATATGTAAATTAAATAAAGGCACTGCAAAATTTTCCTGCATATGTTGCTTGCATTGAATCATATGAGCAAAGTCAAATTTTCAGATCCATCACTGAAAAATGTAAATTTGTGATATTTTTAAATCTTATACACTATAAATTGCTTTCAAGAAAACAAACCATGAAATCAAAGTATCTTTTTCTTTTTTTTACACAAATTCCAGACTTCCTCCTCTCAGTTCTCTTATCTTAATTTTGGACCATTTCTTCCCCAGGGCCATCACTGAACTCAAATATACACTGAAAGATTGCTTTTCATTGTGCAATACTCTGTACTGTCATCATTCATGTGTACAACTATAGTTATGCAATTTAATACCCAAAGGGCAATACTATATAATTTCTTACTCCCATATCACAGTATATTTAGGTTTGCAGTTTAGAGCGATACATACTTTTTATGATATTGTGTATTTCATTAGGTGCTTTATTTCATTTATTTATATATCTATTTGTTTTTGATCACACCAAAGAGGGGGAGCTCCTAATTTCTTTGTATGCAGCAATTACAATGACAGTAAATAGTTTCTGATTCAGATTTTAGCTTTATCAGAGTGTGTCTTTTCAAAAATACTGAGTGGACTCAGCAGCACAGTGATTAATAACCATACAGTCTATGTTAATAACACATGAATGAAGCTGCAGCTGTCACAGCACCTTTCCAAAGCAGTGCACCACATTCCCTGCAGTTTCTGTGAGGTTTTATTTCCACACGGCAGATCATCCTCCGCCTGCACATTCATGAGATCCATATCACAGGCGGCTTCCTCCAGACGCTCACATTAGCTCACTGGATCCTCATCCTTTGTGACTCCACTCCAATCCAGAAATAGGTCAAAGACTAGAAGTCATTAATGATGCATTAAACAGTATGACAGTAGAGTATGTGAGGTATAATACAGCTCTGGTGCTTGGTCTCATTTAAAGGGTGTTTTCTTTAGGCCATGTTATTTGTAATGCTGTGTTTAATGTAGCTGTGGTGTTGAAATGTTCGGTTTGATAAGAACAGAGAGAGAAAAAAATGTCCTGGTTCTCTGCTGCATGTTTAGCTGATGAAGAAGGAAAAGATGGAACAGCAATAATGTTTGTTACCCAAGTCTCAATCTGTTGTGGTGATACAGACACTCCCTGTAACACACACATGGTAACACTGGGTTTACAGTTTCACATTTTGCTCTGATAGCTGTTGAAAGAAAAAAAAATGAGGTGAGACGCTGATGATCCTAGAAACCTGGAGGAAGGGACATGTGGGCTGATGTGTGCCTTTCATTTTTCTGCTGTGTGTCTGTGTGTCCTTGTATCTGTAATGCATTTGAATCCTCCTCAGGATTTCCATGTGCATGTCATGGCGCAAAATATGGTTTCATGCTTCAATATTGAAAGACACAGATCACATCATCTGTATTTTCTGATGTTGTTCATTTTCTATCGTCTCCACATAAATAGAATCAATTGAACCAGAGTCCACAAACTTCACGTCGACATTAAACTAATCAACGCTGAATTCACTTTCTTCACATTGTCTCAGGTGAACGCCGATGGAGACTTGCGCAATACACAGCAGGCACCGACTGTTGTTGTGTCAGAGAGAGTGGCACCTGACCTCAGAGTGGAGAACAGCGTGGTCTCCTATAGCAACGCGACAGTCAGCATCCACAGCGAGGGACAATATAACAGCAACAGGTGAGAGATGGTCACAGCCAAATTATGGTGGCAATGATTAAACCGTGACAAATGAGGAACACATATTCACAACATCAGTTGTCACTGTGATCTGTTAACTCTTTAACTCATTAGTTTAACTCAGCACTCATACTTAATTCCACTTTTATATAGAGACACTTGAGTAAAAGATTCTGTTCAAGGTACAGTGTGTAGAATTTTGTGATATCTAGTGTTGAAGTTTCATCTTGCAGCTGAGCACCCCTCACCTCACCGTCTCTGTGGTAGCCTTTAATTGTCATAAAAACTCAAAAGGTGTTTAGTTTGTCCAGTCTGGACATATGTAAAAAAAACATACCGGCCTCCGTAGAGACGGTCCACTCCATGTAAATATAAAGTATTTGAATATAAAGGGCCTTTTCTGGGGTAAAGAAAACTACAATTCATACAATTTAGATGAAATGAACTAGTAAAAAATTCATGAGGATTATTCTACTTTAAATTTCTGCCAATCTCTCCCTTTCACCTAAATCTTACACACTGGACCTTTAACAAGGTGTCTCTGTTTTAAATGTGTTTTCTGAGTTTGCAGCTCAAAGTCATCATAAATTGAAGTGTGTATGAATGTGGCTGAATATGTCCAACCATGTATGTGCATATATTCATCTAAGCATCTATGCATCTCCCCTAGTTTCTCTGCTGACACCAGTAACCGTGCGGGGGCTGAGCCTCTATATGAGAACAGCAGGGTCACGGTTTACTCCAGCAGCTCCTCGGACGAGACCAACAGCGCCCGAAAACCTCCTCCTCATCATGTGAAGAGGAAAGAGAGGAGAGATCAAGAGCCGCGCCCCGCTGCTCAGGAGATGGTTGAGTCTCAGTATGAAACCGGATACACCACAGGAGACACCGGAAATGAACTGGACCAGGATCACACAGCTTATCTCTACAGGTGAGTCACTACTCCGCTGACACCTAGGTAAATGCTGTTTTTAGTGTAGAGAGGGAAAAATGGCAAATCTGTGTCATGTTAAAAAGATATGAGGAGGTGCAAGCTAAAAATAGAAAAAACATATTCAAATATTGGAATAATCCAACCAATCCAGCCTATACTGGAAATACTTGAGTATCTATAATAATACATTCTTTTTCATATATTGAGTATTGAAATGCAAGAATATGTTGAATATGAGCAAAAATAAAAAATCAGCATCATTGTCAAAATTCAATTATGAATTATCACCAGCGTCTTTAAGTCGGCTGACTGTTTGACTTTGAGTTAAAAGGACTTTCCCCTCTGTACTTGCCACAGCCCAAACAATGGTTTCATTTAATAATAATTCCATTTCTCCGTATTAATATCTCACTTCAGGCTGTACCCAGAGATAACTTCAGACGAACAGCGGCAGCAGTACAAGCGAGAGTTCGACTCTGATCTGGCCTGTTACAAGAGGCTCTGTGCCGACATGGACAACATCAGTGACGAGATGCACAAGCTGAGCCGAGAGCTGGACACGCTGGATGAAAGCTCCATGAAATACCAGGTGAACAGGAGAGTGGGGTAACACAGCTGTAAGAATATACAGTCCCAGCTGTCAGATAGACTGAAACATCAAGTAGTGATGATAAACCGAGACAGATTTAAAACTCAGTTTTATGTGCAGATCATTTATTTATTCATCTGTGCTTGTGTGTTTTTGTCATTAGGGTTGAAGATGAGCTAGATCATGTGTTTTTTTTTTATTTCCAAATGTACTTACATTTGATGGCATACTTTCAGCACAGTTAAGTGATAGAATGTGTGTTTCTGTTGTCAGGGTGTGGCGGAGGAGTATAACCGACTGAAATACCTGAAAAGGGTGAGTGCATTTAGATCTGTGGCATCATGTGAAACTATAAAAGCTTTTCACATTTTGAGATATTCCAGGATTATTTTCTGTCTATTACAGATTTAGGTGATCAGATTGACAACACAATCATGAAAGAAATATTTGCGATAAATGTGAAAAAATGGTGAATTAAGCTGCTTTCAAATTGCACTGAACTCTGGACATTTTCATGAAATATCCTGGAGGAACTATTCATGAGAACACAATATATATATTGTTCAATATGTCCTCTCTCCTATAGACACCGGACTATCAAGCCAAAAAGAAGCAGAGCAGACAACTTCGTCAAAAGCTTTTCCACATCAAGCGTCTGGTAAAAATCTACGACCAGGGTCTGTGTTAGTGTCTGTGATGTGAGGACCAACACTGACAGACCTGTCTGAAGAAACAGACTCTTCCTTCATTTTCCTTCAGTTTCACTGCTGTTTAAAGTTTAACAGTTGAGCCCATCCCAACATGACAGAAACTGACCCTCAGCTCTGACACTTATGTTTACAGCGCCTTTATTAACTTTATTACCTTTGCAGCCGTCAGAACAAAGCGAGCTGTGGACTTTACCCTGTGTGATTGTAAATGTCAACTTGACAACTGACAGTTTTCACGTTTGATTTATTGAATCTTGCACATTTTCCTTTGTTCTTTTAATTTCAGCGGCAGTTTAGATATTGTATTTTCGAAATAGTGTGAAGATAGTCATGAATGAGGATAAAGATGACATTGATCATGTAAATAAGAATTAAAACAATTGTATCAATACACTTGTGCCTCGATGGTACATGTTGCAGTGTTTATTTGGCATTCTTCATACAGATGTAATTACAACACTTTTTCAAGTAGTTTGAAAAAACAAACAGACATAACAAAAGACACGTCGTCATCTTTTGATTTTTTTTAATAACATTGCCATACACAGGAAATCTTTAAAACTCAAGAACTCAGTAACACAAAGATAAGAAAACATTAATAGTATATTTATCTTGTTTTTTCTCTCTCTTCTCTACGACATGTGTTTGTGTGAATCGCTGCCTAAAAAGAAGAACATCCAAATAACTTTCAGAAAGAGCGGCGTCAGATCACGACGTCAAATCTGTTCATTTTTGTCATTTTCGTGTAAATGCTGAAACACGGTTCTATTTAGAGTTGATTTTATTTGGTAAAAATCAACAAGTGACTTCGTAAACTGAGGTAAAAATCCGTGTGGACCGGCAAATCGGGGGCTCCGTCTTCACTCGTCACAGACTGTGTGATATATTTTGGCATTGAATATCCTCAAAGTGCACCCTCAATCATCACAACTCACTGCAGCTTCGACTCCGATGCTTTAGATATGAGAGCATGTCTACGCCACAGCTGCTGTGACAATGACATGACGGTCAGCGTCTGTGTTGACATCTGAACAGATGACAGAGGTATTTTTCATGTAAATACATATAGAAAAGAAAACGTTTAGGAACTAACAGAGAAAGCAACACTTTAAAATGGTGTTCTTGAATTACAGAATGTAAAAGAAGGAAAGTCTCAACTTAGCAGAGATCCAAAACAACATTTGAACATGCAAAAGGACAAAGCTGGCTGTAATATATATACACACACACACACACACATTTCAATACATTTCTCAAGGGGATCAATGCCTCCAGAAACAGCTCTGGTTGACTGATAGCGTTGGTAATGATTTCTCTAATCACCAGCTTTATTTGTTTAACTCATTTCTTTAACGTCCTGAAATTTGTATGTCAGCCTGATGTTTCTCTACAAAAAAAAGTTTCATAGCTGATTTCAGACAAACTCATATTCAAAACACAAATGAAAATCACTTTGGGGCTTTTTCTTTCTTTAAAGGTACAAGACGAATGTTTGTAACACTCGTAAGACTCATTTCATGTTTTGCCGCTGTCCCAAATTCAGACTGAATAACAAGGCAGTTGTCAAAAAAGAAGGCGGTTTCTGGTGAACGACATTTACAGAGGTTTGTGTTTAGGAAATATCAGACGAAAGCATTCTGATGTCTAGTGAGGTATTAGTCCGTTCTCGTGTAACTGTGGCTTTTCGGTTTTAAAATCGTACAGCGACAGTGAGCCCTGTGAATGAAGTTAAATGCATTGTTCACTGGATGGTCAGGCAGTCACAAGAGTCCCATCATCTCTATTTCTCTCACTCTGCTTTCTGTACTAATTTTTTCCATTTAGACTTTGGTGAGTTTTCCTTGGTTTTTCTGATTCTTCTGAGCAGTTCCTCTGCTCCCTCCGTCAGCGTTGAGGTAAGAGGGCAGTGGATTCAGAATCCTCTTTTCAAAAGCAAGGCCCGTACTGTGTCTTATTCAAGTTCATAGCACAACCACGGCTTTCTGATGCGTTTAACTGTTCGATTAAGAGTCAGTATGATCATGATTGTAATGTCGTGATTGAAAACATCACTGTTTCACAAATGGTGAGTCATGGAAAATGGGCCGACTGCTGACGTTTATTGGCAGGGCAGTTTTGTACTCGAGATGTGTTTGTAGTAGGGGGGTGCTGCCCTCTCCATGAAAACTGCAGCGTCTTTATTCGCTATGGTGTGTAGGTGGTGACATGACTGGCTGTGGCGGCAATATCGGAGCACAGCATGAGGAGCTGTTCTCTGGCCTGAGAACTGGCACCGAAACAACCAGGTTGGCAACAAGACAGATCCAGCCTGGCACTGGCTCCCGTCTCTTCTCTGGTGGTCCGGGCGGAGACAGAGGGCTTGTTTCATAAGGGGAGGGGGAATAGAGCAGTTACAGTACAGTATGTGTCATGGCCAGCTGGCCCTGCAGTTTGTTAACCACACAGATGGATAGTGATGAGTCAGGAGGTTTCCTGTGGGTCCTTGTCGTCATTAATCCCAAAGGGAGACCTCGTCCATGTGGAGGGTGAGGGGGACGCTACTGTCCTGGGACATAGGGCCAGCTGATTGAGCTTCCGGAGAGCTGCATGTCACGGATCAGCGTCTCGATGGGTGTCTTTCCTACCAGGCGCATGAAAAAGAGCTGGGAGATGAGGCTGGCAGGAACGGCGCGCAGGGCGGGGAGGCGCAGGAGCAGGCGGCCGAAACGCTGCGGCTGACTCGGGTACTGCATCCTCTCATACTCCGTTAGAGCCACCTGAGCCTTCTCCTGCAGAGACTCCACGTGGACGGGGTCTGTCAGACCACAGGCATCTGAGCGGGAGGGAGAGACGGTTACTTAATAGTGTGGGCAGGTTACATAAAGAGTCGTGATGAGCTGAGAGGCAGGTTGAAATGCTAGAAAACAACCTGATAAACAAATGTGCAAGGAAAATGAACTTTAATAACCCGAATCTTAACTTCAAATTATAAACAGTGGTCATTTAGCTGAATAAATAGAGCCTGAAGGTTTAAAACAAGTAGATGCAGAGTGAGGCATAATGATCAATGACAGAACCATAGACTGTATTTAAAGATGGACAACGCATCTCCACTTTCTCTCACTATCCAGAAATTAAGCCATAATATCCTGGATACGAACATTGCCATCTTGCCATTTGAAGCCAGTCTGCCCAGTAGTGAGGTCTCACCGATACAAGTGCTTGTGCAATGAACCTGTCTCAGCAGCCAATCATGACGTTTCACCGCATTTTTATAGCTTCAAATAACTAAATGAATTGGAAAAATTGGCACTCCAACTTACATATTTAAGAAATATTAATTTGTACTTGGACATTTTAGTTTTGTCCATGCCCCATCCACAAACATGGAGGAGGTGGGATTTATCATTTATACCGCAGCCAACCACCAGGTGGCGATCAAGGCGCTTTGGTTTCACTTTTGGGAACTGTCATGTTGTTCAGCATATGGACAGCACTAATTATACAGCACATAAAATATTACTGCATTTTCATGAGTAAGCCAGGAGATGGTGCCACAGCAGGTTTCCTATTCACTGTTATTAATGACAGAGGCACCCCAACACTTTTCACATGAGGATCAGTTTAATGTTTTAATGTTTAAATGTCTTCTGGGGCTCTGAGGAAGCCTGTGCTTGGACACTATAAGACACATGTTCACCAGAGACTAGGGATTGAGGTTATACCCACAGACTTACAGTTGATCCTGGGGTCGGAATGGTAGGGTCGTAAAAATTGAAATTTCTGATTAAAAGCGGATGGGTTCGGGTGAGTGAAATAGGCATCATACATCATTAATGTGGAAAATATTACTTACATTGTCTAAAATGTAAACAACAAAGAAAAATAACCTTGTGCATTCCTGCTACGAGCGCAGCTGGGCCACATCATTAAGGCTGGATAGAGTCTAACTATTTGTGCGATTTGCTATTAGTAGTCAATGAAGACAGGTGGACTGTGCAAAGTGAAGGTAAATGTCCAGTGCGCAGGGGAAGTTTCTTTGCAAATCTCGGGAGAGATTGAGATGTACTGGGTGTGTTAGCAGCAGGATAACCAGACATAGTTTTATTAATTTTATCTTTCCCTTTGAGTATGTTTATCCTAAGAAATATATTTTTTGTAAAAGGAGATAAGATAGTTTACAGATTTACCTTATGACAGTGAAGTGAGGAGCTTCTCAGGTTTTAGTGCAAAGGACTTATAAAAGCCAATATATGCTCCTGGTCTTTTTTTAGATTTGTATCTCACAAATCAAACAAATTCATAGAAGTGTGACACTCAATCACTGGAGAAACATTTTGGCTTGGTATGGCTCAGCAGCACTGTCACAACAAGAGCAGATGAAGCACATGAGAACAGACACTCACCTGGCGAGAAGAGTGCGATGGCCTTGAGACAGCTGTACTCAGCTGAGTCTACCTGCAGCCTGGTCAGCTTGTCCACCTGATCCTGGAACACCCTCACCTGATCCATGAAGGACACCACTCGCTCTGCGGACATGGGCGAGGAGTGGAAGCCGGCCGCTGCCAACAGGGGAGCCATGTGGAGCGGCAGAGCCGACTGGGCCGCGTTGAGGATGAACAGCTCGCTCCAGCTCAGCCTCAGCAGGGCCACCTGTGGATTTGTTGCCATGTTAATCAGATGCCCCTACACTGTTTTCATCCATTTTTAATGTTCACTGCGTTGCATTGTATATTAATTTCTGATGTAAACTTGATTCCTCCACCCTTTCCTGACTTTTACTTTCCTACAGCCCATTTACTCTGTGTTAACAGGAGAAACTCATCAATATTGTTTTATACTTTTTTATGAGATTTAATCCACTGACCTGGTCTGAAACAGGCAGCTCAGGGAAATAAGGGATGCTTCTGGCCCACTCCACGGTGCTGAAGAGTAGGCGAGCAGCCAGTTCACAGATATTGTCGATGCCCATAGCGTTATCTGGACCGGCCTGTTGGTTGTACTGGTGCCCAAACCGACTGCTGGGATAAGGCTCGGCTCGCAACAGCTGAGAGATGAGCTCTGACACCGGCTGACCCCCGCCGCTTCCTCCATTGTTGTTGTTGTAAAACTCTCCACCTCCAAGGCCGCTGGCACCCCCTAAGGGTGTGATGGAGGGGCTAAGGCTCGGCTGAGGTGGGATGCGACCGCGTTGAACTGCTGTAGTTTGGTTGGGGGACAAAGGGGAGGAGAGGAGAGGCGAGGGAGAGAAGTAGAGAAGATGAGGAGGAGAGGACAAAATGGTGAAGGACAAGGGGGAGGAGAAAGGGGGGGGGATTTGGAGATTAAAAAAACAGAGAGGAAGAAAAGTTAAAACGGAGTTCATCTAGTGGTGAACGTCAGATTATCAGCAAACAGGTTTGACTCGATTAGGAAACTACTTCTTTAGATTAAACAGAGGCACAATCGAGAAAAGACTGATCTCTCATCGTGAAGGTGTGAGAAATATACATGCATGAGGCAAGAATTTACTTTGTATTAAAATGTTTAACCTGCGATAAAATTCTGGAAGAGAATTACAACATGTTATTGCAGTAACCTGAGTATCATCATCTTTTTACCCACAGAAGACTGTACAAAAAAACAAAAAAAAACACCCTGTGACTGACTAAGAATGTCACTTAGCATAGAAAGAGCACTATAGCTGGGACAGATTGCAACATCAGTCTGTTGAATAGAGACTCATCCATTCAGGTATATTAATTCATATGGTAAGCAACTGTGTCCTTGAGCAAGTCAGTGAATCTCTTCCAGGCAGAGGAATCCTGCTCCGTTACTGAATCTGACCTCTGACCTCCCTGTGGGGGTGGTCAGTGTCAGGGAATTTCTCTGTAGGGAGCCATAAAGTGTCTAATTAGCATGTTTATGATCTGTGAGTGTCACGTTTAGGCAGCTCAAACACAAGATCAGAAAAAAAAACACTATTAACAAAAATACATTTTCTGTATATCTATATGAAAAGTATGTATCCATTATTGGTCTCTGAGCCTTTCTAACAACATGATATTGAGTAATGTGTCTCCCTGGCTCTGCCACTTAAGGTGAAAAAAATCCCCATATTGGATTCTTCTCCATCGAGCCAACAAGTCTGAGGGTTTCTGCTTCAGCTTCAACCAGAGGCTTAAGGCTCTGGGACGCAGGTGTCTTAGCACTGTATCCCACTCAGTCACTCTTATGCAGGCACCAGATTAAGCCACTTAGTACATGGCATTGAGCTGACACGCATGGCTAGCTCCGACATGATAGGGCCAAGACGCCCATGTGTGGCATTTTCCCTGCTCTTTGGAGCTCGTGGAGCCGAGGAGGCAAGATAATGGCTAAAGCTAATTTAACTAGGATTGATTTCTTTGTTTCCTTTTTTAAGAACAGCTGATGGGAGTAATGAGGAGGCTCTCTGAGGCTCTTCACTGAACCAAATATCAATTATTTTCCTTTTTTCCCTGATCAGTTCAACTAGAGAGCTTGCAACACTGCACGCACAAGGTGTTTATAGATACAGTGCCTCTCACCCTTCCTACAGGATCAGAAAGGATGAAAGATTTATGGATCAGGATAGACAGATACCTTCTTTGCGCATGCCAACACGGAAACACTTCTTCAGTCGACAGTACTGGCACTGGTTCCTGTGGTGCTGGTCAATCTGACACTCTCGGTTTGACCTGTGAACACACACACAATAATTTCTAACAACAAAAAGTAGAAATAATCACTCTGTACATATGCAACAGCAGTCTTATTTGGTACCATACTGTTTTCACTATAGCTGCTTACACTTCATAAAGTGATTGTATGGTTTTAATTCATGTTTCAGTGATGGTGTCCAAACAGTCAAAAAACATATGCCAGTATGTAACTGATGCAAATTCAGGCTTATAGATGTGTGTAAAAACTGTTGCAGTGAAAAACATGACCTAGTCTGTAGTTGAATTAATGAGGAAAATAGCCATTAGCGGCAGCAGCCCAGAGACTATAGAACTATAATTGTTTGAAGTGACTCAATCACAATTAATACATTTGATTGAATCTACAAATCAAACATGACACTTCATCCCTTTAAAGGCAAATGAATGAGGTCTATGATTAACACGAAAAGAATTGATACTGGACAGATTCAATCAAATGTAATATTATGAATGAATGCTGAATGATATATTTTCCTCGGTTGTGTAGCTTTTCTTTGTGGTTGTTTGACATTATTCACAAACAGAGCAAAATAGGATAACATTTTACTAATGAGCCATATATTATATTATTTATTATGTAAACCATCACAGTGTCATGGAAATGGGGGGTTCATATTCACTTTGTCAAAATATTTAGTTCAGTATGATACAAGACAAAGAATATCTGAAAATCCTTCATATGTGAAAGTGAACAAAATATTTTTACTTGAAAAATGATGAGTATATTTTTTGATTATTTTTGGGCCCAATAATTATTTGAAGAGGGTGTATCCAGGGGCGGGTTTCAAGGGGGCACTGAACCCTAATGAAATCTGATTGGCCCCTGTCCTGTCAGTATTTTTTTTAAATAGACTTACTAGCAATACATAAAATAAATGATAATTTGTTAAGATTTAGCCCACAGTAAAATGTGATCCTTGCTCATTCAGGAGCTTTGCATGTTGGACATATCATTGGCCCCTCTTTGTAAATTATGGCCCCCTCCTAGAACCACCACTGAATCAACAGATTATTTTAACATATATTTAAATTAACAAATCATAGAAATGTTTCGGAATAAATATAAATCTAACATCAGTTTGTTGTTGGTACAAACACGAGGCTCATGAACGCGCAGGGGAGACAGCAGGCAGACACTACAACACATTACATGACTCACATCCTCCTTTAGCCTCATCTGTGGATCATCTCACATGGGTACACGACCGTGCGTGCGTGTGTGTGCGTGCGTGTGTGTCTGCACCTCGAACACAAACATTATCAGTTTTCTGCAGGATGTTTATAGATTGCAGAACCCTGGATCAGAACTACATTACCCACGATGCCCCGCTCACCTGCAGGTGTAGCTCAGGTTGCGTCTGACGCTCCTCTTGAAGAAGCTCTTGCAGCCCTCGCACGTGAACACGCCGTAGTGTTTGCCGCTGGACTTGTCCCCGCACACCACGCAGTCCACCACGCACGCCTTGTCCTCGTCCCCGGCCTCCATGTCGCTGCCGCCCGCCTGCGGGGAGCCGTCCTCCTCCTCCCCCCTCAGGTAGCTCTTGTCCCCCAGCCCGTTGGTGCCCCCGTTGGGATCTCCCCAGCCCCCACTCACCATGGCCATCGCTTGGTTACCGGACCACCGCAGAGGAAACAGGCAGCCAAGATTCCTGGGTGCTGTCAAGGTAACATAAATATCTAGAGACACAAGAAGTCCTGAATGTGTGTTTGCCTTCACCTGGAGACTATCAGTCTTATCAGCCTGTGTGTGCTCTCATTGGCTGGTTAATTATGTCAGAGAATAAACTGAGAGGGGGAAATGAACAAGCAGATGTGAGGAGGGAAGACTCTGGTTTTCAGGAGGAGGGAGAAAAAACAAGAGCAGTCGAGTCTCCTCCCACTTCACTATGACCTGGAAACAGTCCTCACTGTGGCAACTTTTAGTCCTGCCTGCCTGCCTGTGTGGATTTTTTCCAGTCCAACTCTGTCCGTTTCTTCTTATCCAACTCCTCCACTGCGTGTTGTGTCCTTTTCTTCCCTGAGATGGTTGAAGAGAAGCCTGTTCCAACGCTGGCCGGTCAAACGCACTCAGATGAGGAACCTTTCACAGGGAACAATGAGTCAAACGTACAGCACACATTATTCAGAACGAGAGAGAGAGAGGAAAGAGAGGAAAGGTATTTGCGAGCGAATAACACTCGAGGTGAAAATCATTTACCACAAACAGTCTCACACCTCCAGCTCTGTCTCTGTAGCAACAGTAATGGCTGAAAAAGGACCTCAGTGTAGCTCGCCTTAGCACATGCCTGGAGAGGCTTTGACCACCCCTCTTAAAGTAACCCTCACACAGAAATGTGTCCCTGCTCGCACCAATCATTCTTCTTTAAAAGGAACTCTCTGGCTAAATGTTCGCCTCCGAGTCCTCTGAGAAATTATGTCAAGCTTACCTCAGGGTCAGAACATGAATGTGCAGCGTCTCCGGCTTCCCTCGTTGTAAAGTAAATCCTCCTCTCGCTCTAGATCTTCCTCCCATCCAGCGAGGCATAGAGGACAGACACAGCTCGCCTCCTCTCCTGCTGTAATCCTCTCAGCGGCAGCTGCAGCATTTTGACCCACAATGAAGACACCCCAGCTCAAGCAAATTCAACCTGACGTCCACACAACAACAACATCACTTTCATGGGGGCAGTGGGCTCCTTCAAGGCACGGCCAGCTGCAGCAGCAGCAGCAGTCGAGGCGACGTGGACCAAAATACACAACACAAGTAGATCCCCCAACACAAGGAAGTGCTCTCTCTTCACCGCCTGTTGTAGCACGAGTGCTCGGCTGTGACAGTATCCTCTGTGCTGCTTCCTTTTCAGGAAATTTAAAAAAATGACTGAAGCTGGAGTGTCCGCCTGCTCAGTCCTCCATGGTTCCTGTGGTTCCTCTCCAGGCACTCATGCAGGCTTCTCCCTCCAACCTTTTGTCAATGCTTGCCCACCAAGAACTAATGACTTGCGGCCTAGCCCTGTGAGCTGCTTTCCGTCCTTGTGTGTGTGTGTGTGTGTGTGTGTGTGTGTGTGTGAAGCCTTTCCCTTTGGCTCAGGCGAACAGGAGGTGGGGGTGGGAAAGGATGGGTGCTCCTCTGCCCCCTCTCTCCCCTTCCAGCTTCTAAGTCCACAAATCAAATTCTGATTCAAGAAAATGGCCAGAGCCGTAGACTGGCTGGATTTCTCAGCATTTGCTCTTTTTTTTCTCCTCGTTCCTTTTTTCTCCTCCTGCCTGTTTTTCCTCCAACCTATTTGTGTGTGTATGAGAAAGAGAGAGAGATCAAGCAAGGGAGTGGGA